ACGCCGAATAGCATGGTCCGTGAGAGTACACTTCTTGCCCGACACTCGCTCGAACTCGTCCGTTATCTCCTTCTTAGTAGCGCTGTCCTTCACTCTGTAAATAGCCAATAATACTGAACGATAGGTGTCGATCTGAATAATAAACAAAATTCCATCGCACAAAATAAAATCAACAACAGCCTCTCAACGGCTACATGAAATACAAGCATACGTGGAAAACAAGATGCAATTTATAATAATACTCTCACCATACCATAACAACGCCATTTCGTCGACCAACACCACATACATCCACACTCTCCCCTCCCCTACCTCCTTATGACCAGTAGAAGTGAGAATCCATTTATCCCGCAACTTCATACCACCCGCCTGCTTCATCGCCTCTATAGCGTTGGCATCAGTGATGATATCTTGCGGGTATCTACATCAACATCAAACACGCACCGCGAAGATTTTTTCAACAGCCCTCCACCTTACAATGTCTGTAGTAATTTCCTTATCTCCGTCACGCTTGCCACCGCTTTCCCAATCCTCTCCTTCACCCTGTTAACAGCATTACTCGTCAGTTTAAGAGTATCGGCTGATGACGATGACGGCGAAGAGGGCGACGATCCACCTACCATCAAATTACATCAGTGGGTTAACTGCTTGGGCTATCATTCTGAAGGTCCTGGGTTCAAACCAACACCACTCCTACCAGACTGCTGCATCTCCTTCTCCTTCTTCCACTTAGTCCTCAGCTCCTACCAACCAACACTAATCTCCCACAGTAAGGGGGGCAAATACGCACATGGTCAACTGCATGTGTTGGTGACAATACGAAAATTCTGTGAAATTCTTCTTTGTTTCTGAACATTCCTATCCCAATTCGTATATGAACTCATATTAGTAGTGAGGAAGACGAACGAGTATTCCAACGCTAACCAACCATAAGCCTTCATCCCAGCACTACCATCAACCTAGCCTCGGCCTGATCATGCTGCCGTTGTGCCACCTCCGGAAAGTCCTTATTAAACTCCTCGTCGTATGGTATCCTCAATTGCAACGACCTCGTCGAGGAGTTGAACACACATATTGGTTTTAATACCTGTATCAATAAATAACTCTTCTCACCAACCTACGTCGCCGATCCATTATAATTTAATACACGCCTATGCACGAGCTCGACCTCAATGGAAGTTCACTACTAACACATATGGTACCCAACAAGATCATCATCATCACGACGATAGTCATTTGTCAGCCTCTATTACTGGTGGCCGTCACCAACACATAAAAAACTACAAGTGTAAACGAAGTAAGTCCAAGTAAACACTCAGCGAAGGAACTTATACTATACCACATATACGGTGGTTAAACCATAAAATGGAAAGCTCACTATCAAACAGTACGCCCCTTGAATGATCGAGAAATAAGTGTCCAAGTGCTCCGCAAAAGTGGAGTTCTCCCCCTCCCACCACCGCACTACCTCTGCTATCTCCATATCAGTGAAGCCTGTTGCTGCTTTCAAATGTTCCACACCAAACGGTCGCTTAGTACCCAACAATAGCAATACTAGATCCCTCAGGTCGTGATACTTCGGTGCATGATTAGTGAGCCGTGAGCTCAGCACCCATACTCCTCGAACCTACAACAACACACCATCAATTTAATTTTAATATCTCTACATACGATTATTTCGACAACAACAACAACAACAATAACAACAACAACAATAACAACAACAATAATAATAATAACATCAACAATAATAGCAACAACAACAACAACAACAACAACAATAGCACCAACAACAACAACAACAACAACAACAACAACAACAACAACAACAACAACAACAACAACAATAGCACCAACAACAACAACAACAACAACAACAACAACAACAACAACAACAACAACAATAGCACCACTAACAACAACAACAACAACAACAACAACAACCACGGCCACGACCAGAACGAGAGCCCTTGCCTTGTCACCTACCAGCACTGAACAGTTCTCCAAATGCGATATAATAGCATTATCGGTCATATTATGACGGGTATTCACCGGCAATAGGTTAGTCTAAAACACCATGTAACAACAACACCATCATCCCCAGTCCATCGTCATTACAATTTGCTTCGAATAGTTCGCCACCGACAGCTTCTTCATAATAGTTTCCAATTGCTGGTTAGCATCCAGCCTCCCAAGATCTCCCCACTCATCCTTAACACCAACAACATTACCACACAGCGAGGTCAGGTACCTAAACCAACCACATCCTCCTCCACCTCTTCCTCAATCACGGATCCATTCAACTTAGAGAGAAATAGCGTTGATCACAATGAGAAAAAAAAGTTCCTCATGTGATGAAATTTACCCAAAATCTGTTCCTAACAACGAGTTCTCCGGAAAAATTTGTTTTTTTCTCCAAAATTCGGGAGAAAAAAACCGCCATGCTCATTCATATTTCCTCCACGGGGGAAAATTTTCCCAAAAAACATTAACAGTTGATCCTCGATGTTTCCCTGCCGACCATCCCTATTACGAGTCCTGATCCTTAACATGGAATCGCAACTCCATTGTCCTCCTCTCCCTCTTAGCCCTCGCATCCAAGTCCTCCCACTGCTTGGCATTCTCACTCACCACAGGCGTCAGGAATTGCCTCTCGTAAATATCCGCAGCCTGAAAAGAACATAAACGTTCGTGAATTGGGTAAAAACTCCGAAAACGTGCCCAAAATACACACTTCAAATGACACCATCATTCACACATAGACTAACACTGAAGTTCCACCCGGCTCCCGTAATACTCTGATATGAAAAACCTCCTATATTCCCGCTATACAGTGTTTTGTGATATATGCATCTTCATCTCACATGTAAAACTCCACTGTATACATTCCCTAGGAAATGACAACGTGAACAAGCGATGAGCAGCAATACCTCAGGAGAATCAGCATCGTAAAATCAAGCTCTTTCCACGGACCATCCTCCTCCCCTCTTCCTTACTTTTCCCTCCTCTCCGCTGCCTCCTCATTTTTCATCAGCAAACTCTGGTCCTGAAAATAATAATATAACTTCACAACGAGTAGATTCCGAGTACCACTTCCTCACTTGCTACGTTAAACTGTGCTCAATCTGGGAATACTGAATCTATGGTTTGCGCAGTTTTGGTGAAATTTAAGTTTATCACCTCAGCACAAAACAACGAGTTTTGTTCATAATGCAAGACATCGATACTCTATCAAGCTTTGGTGTCTAATAAGAGGACCAAATCCCAAAGACGATTCGGGTGGAATGATATGCACATTCTCAACTACAATTTTCTGATAGAAAATTTCGGCGAATTATTATCCCTTTTCACACACTTCTACCCGGATTTGTATATAAAATTCTCCAACTAATGAGGAAACTTCTGAGCTCAGTTGAGGAAAGCAGAAATATATTCCTGCTCCAACGCTAGAGATATACGGTAATATCGTCGAATACAAGTGGTGGAAAACCTTCCCTGTGCGGTACACCGCAATCTTGTGCTGCTGTCTATTTCAAAGCAGCAGCACACAGTAAGACGTTATACGTGAGCTACAGAACATCTTCATTTTTTGATACCTCATTAAAGATTTCCTACTTGGCCCCTCTCTTGAGAAATATTACTACTAATGATAATAATCAAAATAATAATCACTACTAATTAAAGATTACTACTATCATTACTACTGATGATGATAATCAAAATAATAATCACTACTAATTAATCTCTCCTCGGAGATTTCCTACTTAGACCATCATTGAGCTTCGACCTATAAGTTCTCCATGAAAAATCATGCGTAAAACGAGAGCAACCAGTCTACACCTTCCCCCAAAAAACTCTGTTTCCCAGTCCCGAAACCGACCTGTCTTAGAGCTCCCAATAGAGATTGCTGATAACGCTGCTTAGCTCCCATTGAGGTAGCTCCTCTAGCCAAACTCGTGCTAGCTGATATCACTTGAGACTTCTTAGTACTCGCTTTCACAGGTTCCGTCATCGATCCTGATAACAATAACAAGGACAAGTTCATCATCATCACCCCTCACTATTCACCACAAGTTCACATACCACGCGTCACGCAATTCCCAAAGATCACATCACGCCCTTACTCTCGTCATCATTCTCAGCAGCAGCAGACTGTTTCCCCCGTATCTTAGCAGCCATCGCCTGCCTCTCCTGCCGATCCTTATCAACATGCGTGAAGTCTGGTCGCAATTGACAGAACGAGGCTAATGGCGTCAATGTGAGCTGTCCAGAGTTCACAGCTCCCACACAGTACGTACCTTTACCACCATGAACTACCATACGAGGTCCCATCTAGCTTTGAGAGGAAAAATTTCCTAATGCAATCACATTTCCATGGAAAACTGACTGGTCGAAAATGTGGGAAATTCAAAATGATTCCCCCCCCCCTCGGGAACATCATCGATTCTCCGCTTCCATACCGTCTTTAGCGATCCCCCTCATTATTATTACAAGACTTGTTCGTGACTGTTTTCGCCATGAGTATTTGCTCCCTCATAGAACTATGTGTGGCAGTTTGATCGAACGTTTCCGAATCATCATTGAGTTTATATCGCAGCCTCAACTTCTTCTGGTCATCTCGCAGCTCCACCCCCTCAAGATAGCCCTGGTCGCCATACGCCCGATATACAGGGCGCAGAGGATACCTGATCGATGAAATTAATAAGTAAATATTGTGCATAGAGCTTTCGAGTTGGAGGTATGGCAAGACTTTGTGAGTTTTTTATGGGACACGTTTGATATCGTAGATTATACGAGTCATAGGTGTAAAGTCATTCATCATCATCATCAACAGCCTTAACCAGTCACACAAATAAAGAGAGCCCGCAGAGGGACGGGTGGAACAATGGTACGTTTACCAAATCGATAATAATCCAACTTCAATTCAGTGAAAGTGCATTGCTGGTGATAGTCACTCACGAAATTCAGTAGTAGCAACAATGCAGCGTCGAGGAATCCACGAAAAGCTCTACAACCTAAGGGAGCCTAGCTCCTCTGCTATGATGAAATCTCCCTCGGACAAGGCGTAAAATGGTATAATACTACCATGTATTGTGAATACCACGATGACAATTATGAATTTGAGACTATCGCTAATTTCCAATATTCTATCACAAGTTCTTTACGGCAATCACTTCAAAACGGCAAAGTATTTCACAGTTTTAGTGTTTTTTTTGTGGAAACAGAATTATACACGTTTGACATGGTAGATTATACGAGTCACAAGTGAAACGTTATTCAACAGCCTTAACCAATCAAACACAGTTTTAGTGTAAGACTGATGGCCAAACAGGCTACTCCTCATTGATACGATAAAAGCTCCCAACTGTTGGTATTATTATTATTACTGTAATAAGTACATCTCGCCAGTAAAATCAGGTGGATCCTGCATTCGGTTTAGGAAGACCGGTACCTCGTGGACGACTTCATCATCTTCTGAATCCTCAGACGGGGAGGAAGGACTCATCGTGACATCGTCATTGGGTTGAGGCGGCATTGGAATGAAGGACGAGCTGGAGTGCTTCGAGACTTCGAGGGAAAGCGTTTGAGCACCAATGAAGAGCTGCGGTTTACCCCGTCACTAAATTCAATTAGTGTGGCACGGAATAATCACCGATGCCACCTTATGATAATTAGTGCAAGTGCATGTAAGGAGACCGTAAAGGGCCCCTCGTCTCTCGCGCGCCCAAGATTTTCTTCCACTGGCCGACCGACTTTTCCTTCCTCCCAACCATTTTTTTCGCGCGCCCAAGCTCTTGCCTCGGGCCGAGGCGCGTGCTGCTGGCTCGCGCAGCATTACAGCCAAATAGGTAAACATGAATCGCTTCGCTCCGTCCGAATTTCCCCCTCGGAAAATGAGGATTGATGTAGTTGGACCTATGACTTCCCCTCACGTATCGATATTCGAACCCCTCGTGCTCCCTGCAGCAGATTCAGAGGAGTGGGGTCCTCATCAAATCGGCGGATCGACGTCTGTCAGCGGAATCCCTGGTAGAATCGGGGAGAGTATCTTGAGGTTGAGCGGGGAAGATACAGAATGGGTCCACATCAGGTGATCTCATCTCGCTGGTCGATGGATATCGCAATGTCCGAGTATGCGATTTCTCTCAACAAGGGAAGCGTATCCGGGACATGCAAGCCGCTCAAGGCTACAATCGGGGTCGAGTTAGTGCCACTGCAAGCGAAGAGGAGAAGGACAAGGGCTTTCAGCTGGTGGACACCTCATCAGCCCCACGGAAGCACCATGTCAATAAGTAATCTCCTCCTCTTCCTCGTCGTCATCGCCCACCGACTTGACGACCGTTTTTACCCAATAGGTACAGTCAGCCTCGGTGGCAGGATCACCGCAATAATCGTTATCAACAGCAACACCAGCGTGATGGGGGCCGCTACCAGCAGAAGGGCGGCAAGTCTGGTGGTCGGCAGCAGAGTGCCTATCAACAGGGTTGGGGCCGAGGACAAGGCGTCGCTCGTGGTATCAAGGACTGGAGCGTCGCTCCTAACCCGGACTGGCAGGTCCGCTGGAGCAACTAGTGGGGTCTAATGGAATGAATATATTTCAGCTCGTCCGCGAGTTACCCTTCACGCTTCTGGCCAAGGCTCATGTTGACCCTAAGAACGTCGCCTATGAGGATCTTGTATGGTGTGGCACTGGTCTTAAGGCCTATGAAAAGACCTACGACAGGGTCTCACCTAAACGTACTCGTAGAGGACCATTCGAATTGTCTATTTGTTCTGTTTAGTCCCCAAGTCCTTGAAGCAGTACCCCGATATTGCTTTCTATAACGTCACTACTGGACAGGACCCAGTGATCGAGCAGCTGTTGACGAACCAGCCCGTTGCTAAGGGTCAAAACGTTACTGTCGCTTGTACTGATAGTGTAATGAGTCCTCCAAGGAGGAATCTAAGATGCTCATTGAACATTGTAGGTTCTCTCGGTGCTGATGGCCGCTAATCGATCAGTTTATTCTTGGGATCTTGTTATCACTAGACTTGATAACACCATCCTCATCGATACTCGGGAGGGCTCTAACTTGGACATGCTCACCGTCAATGAGACCAGTAAGCTCTACTGGTGTGTCAGAATTGGACATGTTTCGTATCTTTAGGTAGTGAACCTCCGGCGACGCATCCTGGTGAAGGCGAGGTCGCCAACACGGAGATCTTCAATACTGTTTACAAGGTTGGCGAGGAGGCCACCTGCATCAACCAGAACCTTACCGTCCAGGCAGGCAACATCACTGAGGGGACCATACAGATGAGTTTCTGCATTTTTTCAGCTCTTGTCGTCTACCCTTCCCGAGAAGGACAATGAGTATCCGAACCCCTTTGACCAGAGGGAAGAAGAGGAGGATGATGACGAGGATGAGGAGAATGAGGACAACAACAAAGGAGAAGTTCTCCCGCCCAGCAACGTTGCTTACAGGTGAAAGACTTTCTGAAGAGGAGTTTATGTTATTTGTCTATATGTTTCAGGTATCGTAAGGTGGACCTACCTCGTGTCCCAGAGGAAAGCAAGAGCCGTAACATTTCCATGATCGTTCGTACTGAAGTGGACGCCTATGTTCCTCAAGCGGAGGGACAGGAGGCTATCTACGCCAAGATACGTGCGCTCAACGAGTAGGTTGTTAAGGTGTCGGAAAGTTGGACATGGAATTAGGGAATCATCCACAAACCTATAATGTTCCCGAGGGAAACTCATTTTGAATTTCCCACATGGCTGGGGGCACATTCTTCAATCAGTTTCCCCTGTAAATGTCATCACATTAGGAACATTAATATCAAACTCTGGAGAGCGTTAGTTCTCGAAGCGGAATGAATCCTTTTCAGAATACCATCAACTCAGCAACAGAAACAGCCGTGGAGGTCCTCATTGGAGTCTCAGAAGGGCGCGGTTCTCGCTACTGAGGTGAGCAATTTGCTACTTCTCGCGACTAAGGGTATATTCCAGGTGCATAATAACGCCTTCAAGCTGGGCCGGTGGGTTGCTAGTGCTCTTCTGGCTGGCACCAGTGTCTTCAAGCTGGGTTATGTCACTCGTGCTCGCATGAACGACCCTTTCCATCACTCTCTTCTCAGTGTGCAGACCTACAAGACGGAGGACTTCGCCAAACAAATCGGGTGAGCAGCAGTCACTGCTAGGGGGAAGGGGGCCTGGTTGAGGTGTATCGTTTCAGGATGAATACGTCGAATGCCTTTGGTATTGTCCAGGCTGTTGTGGACTTGGTGATGCAATACAAGGCGCCTGGTGCTGAGGAAGAAGAGGAGGAGGACGGCGCTTCCTTCGCTGGAAAGTTCTTGCTCCTCAAGGAGCCATCAAAGAGCATGATCAGGCTCTATGCGGTAGTGATTATTATCAATACTCCTATATATAAACCATGCGTGTACTGTGGAATATACAGCCAAATCACTAGTGTGGGGGATTACGCCGTATATGAGTTCGATATGATGTGACCGTAAGCTAAGCACAGCTACGACGATTGCTGTGATGTTAGTATACACCCATTCCTTGTCGTTGTGTGTAGTGGACCTCTTGAGATTCACTAATGCTTTGTATTACGAGTAACGCGCAGGTACCGTGGGAAGAGTTCGAGGAGTCGGACGAAGAGGAGATGTCCGAGTCTGATGATGATGAAGAGGAAGAGGAGTAGCTTTGAGAGGAGTCCGATACAATTGGTGTGGTGCTTGACGTTGTCCAATAGTTTCTACAAGAGGGCTCCATTGTCGAGGCTCGTTTTGTTAAAGTTTACTATCGAGAACACCATCTAGTTCTGGTCTATGATATGGACTCTTTATGACCAACCGTCTCCTCCTCATCGCTGTTCTCATACTGCTGGCAGCGGTTTTCTATCAGTCGGTTTTCCCGCTAACCTCAAGAAGTGCTGATATGACAGGAGTGGGTCATATGGTAGCTTCGAAGCTGAAAAAGGTAGCCTCTGAAGAGGCTATACAGAGGCTCGTGGACTCGCGCAAGACCACCCTTGGAGGTTTACCTATTAGGTAAGTGTTCCCCTCAGGGAGGCCTCGCAGACCCCGTGAACGGGACCCTCTGCTCGGCCCTTTAGTGCACGAGTTTCACGTATCTCAGGTCATAAAGCGCTGTGGACGATAGTATACTCACCACACGCAAGCAAACTACAATCACCAATGAAACATGTTGAAGTATACTGTCGCACTGATGGTGTTGCCACCGGCAGCTGGGTTAGCAGTAGAGGGGGCATGGTAGGTACTGGAAGGAACAAGCAATTGCCGAGGTGCACTCTTCAGAGAGCTATTCCCTAAAGTCGTGGCCTCTTAACCATGCATATTGCTTGTTGAAGTTGATCATAGAAGCACTGGTGTCCATGCACCAGACAGCATTTTCATTGCCGTGCTCCGCCACTGGTTGAAGGGAGCGATCAAGTTATTACGGATGGCATTGGCAATATGAGCCTGGAGTTGATGCGGCCGTCGTCCGAAGCCGTGTGTTAGGATTAGATAACTCAACAGGAGTTATTAACAAGTGGTTCTTAACTAAGGATCAATACAGTAATCATAAAGTATACGCTAGGCTAGCAGGGGAGACTAGTATCACAAGAATCTAAAATTACAGGAGATACTTGTGTACAATATTTCCTCACACCGTGAAGCACACCAGGTCGTGGAGTTATAGATATACTCCCCCAGTAAAAATTGGTATTTTGAGGAGCAATTTTAACACGTGTATGCTAAGAATATGTGGAGAAATCTTTTTATCAATCTTCGACTTCTCACTAACTACGGAAAGTTAGGGCTTTCTGAAACTTGGAGGTCATATCAGGTAAAGCATAAATACCTGAGCCGCAAGATGACACTCGTTCTGGTGGCTGTGCACGAGTCGAAAAACCAAATATGCTATGAATATGTGGAGGGGTGTACCGCTTCTGCCTTCAGTGAACACGGACTGAACATGCGTTCATAATTTCGTGGTGCAGTGACGAAATTAGTAGCTGGTGTCTGCGTATCACACGATACTCGTGGCTGTCACGAATGTCTCCCCAGTGCGACGATCTTCTAGGTTAGAACATGATTCAACAGCGATTAGCTCTTCACACTCCCTGTGGGCCACATCGATGGTAGCATTTAAGCAGCTGCTGCCCGTCACTAAGCCGGGCATCATCTGATTCGGGGCCCCCTGACAACAGGACATCCCGTGGAATGATCGTTGTCAGTGGTTCTGTTGTATCAGATGATGCCCAAGCTAGGGTCATTCAAGCTCGTGGGCATCACTTCGAAGTGCTGGTCTCCTTGTGCTGAGTACGTCGACCTTATAAACAACCCAGCTTGCCCTCAGCTGTTGGTTTGTCGCCTGGCCGAAACGCCCGAGAGAGAGAGAGATTAGTTCGTGGAATGGCAGTTGGTATTCATCACAGATATTATTTTCTATTCGCATTTCTAAGGCCTCCGATGTCATCTCCCGTCGTAGCTGAAGCATCTTACCCTCAAATTCGAGCGCTCTCTCTGAACCAGAGATTGGTGTCAAATTGTGAGCTGGAGGCAGCGGTCAAGGCATGCGACAAACTGCACGGCTCTATTCCCATTGACGAACCTTTGCCGCTGAAGGACAAGTGGGTGCTGTGGGAGCAGCTCACTCTTCATAAGGTAATGATATGCGTATCTTAGCTTCGCCTTCACAAGATACAAAGTATGTCCGATCGCATACCATATTTCAGAACGCCGCTACACCTGAGCCCAAGTCCGAGGACGCCGAGGGTGATGGTGATGCCTCCAAGCAGCAGCAGCAAGTCGATCTCACGGAAGTGGCAGTAGCAGCTGCTCGTGGGATATCGAACTTTGGCGAGCTCACTAATCGAGTTGCTGAGATCTCAACTGTGCAAGACTTTTGGAAGTACTACAATTTCCTCCCACAGCCAAGCGCTGTTATCGGAGACAACCTCAGAATCGTCAGGTAAGCAGGCTCTATTTTCTTCTTCTTCTGAACTTGTCCTAGATACGACATGTTGGAGAACGGCGAGATGTCCAAGACGCCGACTCATTCTCTAGGGGCTCTCATGCTCTTCCTGGACGGTGTCAAGCCCGAATGGGAGGATCCGGCCAACGCCAAGGGGGGCCACTTCCAATTCACGATGCAGGCAGCTGCTTTCAAGTCCAAGGCGTCCTTCGACTTTGAAGCTTCCAACCCTGTCACACAGGTCAATGCTGGCCTCGCACTTATGGACGAAATCTGGAATAACCTTGTAGGATATGCTGGAGAGTTCAATAATTGTCTTTATGTTTTGTCCGCAGGTCCTCGCTGTCGTAGGCAACACTTTAGAGCCAAAGGATTTCGTCACTGGCCTGAGGCTAGTTGATAAGGTTAAGCGTGGTAATGTGAGAGGGGGCTCTTCTCGAAGTAACGCTAGCGGCCATCTCCGAGCAGAGGTAAGTGAGTAGTAAAGATGGAGCTATTACTATCACTCAGGTGTGGTTCCGTGATATTGATAAGGATAAGGTGAGAAGACTTCGAGAGTCTATGGAGATGGTTATGCGACAACGGTTGGATCAGAATGCAGTCGTGGACTTTTCATCAGATGGTAGTTCCGGGTACTTACTGGGCTCGTTCTTCTCTTGGGAATCAAATTCGTGGAGTGTTGTTGTCTTTTTCTCGGACCCAGCTCCTCCCATTTTCCCTGGATACCGTTTGGACTTGCGTCCTCATGATGATACGGCGATGCAGCAGAACGTCCAGGTGAGCCTTGATGGTTGTATGCAAGAAGATTTCCACGATGTTTACATAGGATTCCATCAACACGAGGAAACAGTACAAGAGGACGAAGACTCGGAAGCAAATAATGAATTCAGCGAGATCTCGAGGCGAGTTTAACTAAGCGCAGCTCGATCGTAATATTACTGAGCTTTCATGGGATGCCAACTCCTCGGAGAGCCGTTGGTTGGACACACGTGTTTCGGTCGGCGATGCGGTACTTTAGTAGACTTAACTTTATAATGGTTATATATCCTCATTATTATTTTTTCAATTAGTAGCCTTAGATATATATTATACATGATATGAAGATATTACCTTAATATTAAGATAGAACATCATCCTTTGACACGTGCACGCTTGTTGTCACCAAAAATGTCAGAGCGAGTCGGGCATCGCATTAAGAACTTGCGGGAAAATTCACTCACTATTTGGGGAAACCCCTAAGGAGTCTTCGATCCCTTGGATCTAGTGTATTGGCTTGCAGGTCCAATCCTGTTGGAGAAGCTGCGGGTCTATCATCTGAGAGCCCTCGTGATTGGATGTCGTTTATTCGTAGAGCATCAGCAGTAGTTGTGATCAGAAGCGTAGCTTTTATGTCGTCCTTCTCTCACAGGATGTGACCATCGGGTTTCACTGGAAGCTACTGTTGTCTTGTGTTGCCGATCATTGGTAGACTCTGGACACGCATCTGCTAGCAGTTTCTCCCTTGGGTGAGCGCGCAGACTGTGCACTGTACTATGCGGCGAAGTCAATGGGTTTTCAGTTCCACTTGTCCAGCTCACGAAATTTTTCTGGGCTTTTACTAATTTGTTCTGGAATATATTAATTTTGTCTTGGTTTTTACTAACTAGTTCTTGAAATGGTGTAGAGTCGTGAGATATGTCGACGAACTGAACGTGCAGCATGTTAAATGCTCTACGACTGTGAACTCGTCAGAGTTCCAGTCGTAGATCTTTTCAAGAAGAATATTTAAAATATTATACTATATTTTCCCTCAATGAGGCGTAACCTTTCTGGAATGCAACTGTGGTTGGTTATTGTTGCGCGCCGCGGAGGATTTTTCGTATCATTTTTCCCTATGGGGAAGTTAGCTCGAGAGCAGAGTCAATGCGCCATAATTTCTGATGGATGAACTATGCCGCATAAATGAGCCTATCCGACGGTTGGAATTTGTCAGCTGGGGATGAAGACGCAAGAGAGGGATGCGGCAATCGTCCCGGGAGTGGAATACCTGACAGATCGACCTGATACGAGCGCAGTCGTGTAAGCTGGGCACCTCTAAGGAGATGATATCAGTATCGCTGCGATGACTTTTCATCGCTGCCCCCCCCTGCGGAATCTCTTGTTCTGCAAGAAGATCACGTTCTTTTACCATCGCCACCATCATCTTATGTAACTGTATTGTGAGTATTCACGTGTTTCACCTGATTGCTTGTAATAGTTGTTGTGCGTCATGTTTCACAGTCATGAGGGCCCGGGATCGAACCCTAGTGCTTGTGTTTCTCAGAATCCATAATTTCCATCATCACTTTTAAATGAGCAAGGCGGGTCGAGCGCAGTTTGAGGATGGACACCAGCATCCAACACAGTGAGTGGCAGGGTTGTGGGCTCTCGTACGTTGTGTCTTTCAGGCTTGGTATGATTCCCGAAGAAGAGCCCTTGCCGAATACACCTGAGGAAGAGCTGAAGCCGCAGGCCTCGGAGTCGACGAGGCGAAGAAGTTGCGGTAACTGGTGTGGTGGAGTTGGCGAGAAACTCAAAAGCAATCTTCTTAAAGTGCTGCCGGCTTTAACGATCGACTCATCGCAGGAGTATCGTGACCAAGATCAGTTTCGCGTGGAAGGAGCTTTTGTATTCAACAACAGCACTGATTACAGTCGAGGAACAGAAACATCGCTTTATGCGAGGCCCAAGAGCGTTGCATTGGAGAACGGGGATATCCCGGATCCGCCACTATATGAGCTGAAGAAGCGGATAAGGAGCATGAGTGGTGAGAAGCACAAAGCTGAGGAAATACATAAGACGGAAACACGAGGAAGCAGCCACGACGTAACAGATAGAGAGCCTCTGATACACTCACGGAACTAGCCTCGCAATGCATGTCATGCATTGCATGATATAACCTGCTGCGCTTTATTACTTTCAGTGCTGTAGTTTGAAGCCTGTAAATATTTTGTTAAGTCATGGGGCGGAGCGATCACACCTTCCCCATCATTTCTGCGATTCAGCAAAGCAATCAGGGGAGCGTTCCCTTGCTGGCGCTCCTT